AATATAATTGTAACTGCATTTTAACGTTTGCTTTTGTAAGTGAGAAATCCAAAAATGTAAAGATATGGTGTGCAATGCGATTCTGTAAATTTAAAGTCAACTAGTGCATACTCAATTATCCTCATCATGTTATTCTCATTTCTAAATTGCATTTCTTATTGTTTATATGTACATTCTTCGCCTTTTGCTTATCTATACGAATTACGATTTAGAAATTCCATTCGCTTACTTTGTTATTATAATCTCAATGAGCATATCATCTTCATTATCTTATTATCATATCTTATCGCTCGTAATTATTTGCTTTTTTCAATTGATAAAAGGAGAACAAGGCATTTAACTATCATTTTTAAATTTATTCATTGTCTTCTTCATATTTCTTTGCGAAGTTATCAATAACAAGGTATTATACAAACAAATGAAAATATCCAGAAGATATAAGGATGAATGATCATGTACTGATTGCACATACTCAAAATTAGATCTATACAAATTGAAGGAATGAATTCAAGTGAATCAAATGAAAAACAATAATACAACTGCCGTATACAGTAAATACAACGATACAGTTGCATGAACAACGTCTACTCTGATTTCTACGACAAAAGTAATGAAAACAATTCGCCTTAAAATCTTTCTACTCGAATTTCTGCATCCTAAGGCAATGCTTATTTACAAATAGATGGCAATATTCATACTCAAAACGACTCATCGCATCTAAATAATCATTACCTTCAGGACACACTATAACTTTCCATATTTATAACGACAAAGGTTCAAGACGATAATTCAATCGGTCAATAGTACACCAATATTATATCAGTTTTTTTCAAAATCATAAAACAATAATGTTTCGCTCATTTCCCACTTGCTTCACTGTTTTGCTACAGAAGTTGAGCAAACAAAATATTCTCTCGTATATTCTGAATCTGACTGGAACATCCTTCCAACCACATCAGTAACCTAAGGGAACGATAGGATAAGTGAACGCTCCTGAGATATCATGACAAATTCGGCTGAGTTGGTGCTATCTGCGACAATGTTGGGCTTGTTACAGTTGTGGTCGGTGGAATGCTGAAATGATCAAATTTCTAAAGAATTATCTCCAGAAAACTGCCGAAATATACAACGATAAATTGTTTTTAAAACTGAAATTATATTTATATCATAATCAAACTATTTCCACACGTCTTCCTTCGATCAGTACAATAATTATTAATGAAATTTTTGAGAAGAGCTCAAGAAAAGTTAAGTAAATGTATTACAAACTTTTCACGATTGATCATTCCAAGCGGTGACGCACGTGAATACGGTGAATTCCGCAGTGGTGTTGTCAACTGCCCTGTCATTGTGGACTGCAAATAAAATGGGATAAAATTCTTATAAACCATTCAAAATTTTCTTTCCCTCTTTCGTTTTGTCCTCTGTGATTTAGTAATAAATCTTTTTCGAACTATGTATGATACATATACGTAATGATGGATGGCCTACTTCAAAATACTAATGATCACGAAATTTCTTAAAAAGATAAAAATAAAATAAGACAATGAACGCACCCATCCTAACACTCGTGGATATGTAATAGGCGCCGCCGTTTGTGATAACTGAGCAAAATTCTGCGTCAGAGGAGTTGTTAACGGAGTTCCAACGGCCGTCGGTGATGTGGAATGCCTCATTTTCAAGAGGTCACCCAACACTGTAACGAAAAAATCATCACTCCATGCATTCAGAGGTTTCTATGGGATTCACTCTACAACTGCCTCGAATTTTTCTATCTTCTGCTAAACAAAAAAACAGCCGAAATGAACGATTACGATGGCCCTGACTGATAGCTAATAGTTTCCAAAAAGCATTAAAAACATTGAACATTACCTAAAGTTATTCTGTGTCTTTCAAATCTTGAACCGAACAAACGAAATACTCGAATACTTACTTTTCTCTTTCTTTTCGTATTTTTCACACCACTGTTGCACATCCTTTTTAGCGTTCGAACATTCTGTCATCAGTTTTTCCATCTAAATATTTCTGATTCAATCTTTACTTTTGCCAAACCTCCTCAAATAATCCTCTTCTGTTTCCAGTTGTTTCAATAAATATCAATATGTATTTTTACGGAAGCTCTCGACATATTTTTGAGACGTAAAATAATTTTCATCTACATAATTTTGCACTTATCTTAAAATGTAATGCAACGATACATTACTAGTTTACTATCAAAAGGATGGAGGGCTTACCTGTTCCCTCAACTGAGCGTTTGTTTCATTCAATGTATCAATCGTATGCTTCCGATCCTCCAAATCTGTTTCAAGCTGTTTAATTCTATCTGCTCCCGACGCATCACCACCATTTGCGGCCATATACTCATCTCGTAAACGCCTTTCCTTTTGCTGAAATTCAAAACAAAACTCTTATCTGTTACTTGAACGTCTTCAGAATTGTTTCCGGAATCATAAACAGGTCATAAAATCATAATAATAAGTTCTCAAGAAATTTTTGACACAATGACAAAATACAAGTCACATTTTGTTCATCAACCTTGTCAATAGATTAACAATAATTCTGAGTAAACCACACAAAACAATTAAAATCACTAAAAACGTTGATGCTAAATGTAAACATACCTCCTTATAGAGTTTATTGATGATTTTTATGCCTTTCTCATTATCAGCTTTCCATCGGTCGCGGTCATCTCTCAGCTCACGTAACCTACTTCTCAACGATGAATTATCCGAATTTATTTCGCTCAATTCCGATTTCAACTGATCTATTTCACGAATCCTTTCGTCCAGTAATTCATCACGTTCCTCTAATAAATCCTCCAGCTCTCTCACCTTCTGCTCACATACTTCCAAACGATCCTCCTGAAATTATCTTCTCTCATATACAGACAGATATTGCATATACCTGATCGCTTGGTATCATTCGAACAACGTTTACATATACCATAATCAATAAAAGTCCACCACAATTCTATAATTGCTATTAAAATCACGATTAATTTAGTCATACCAATGATCCAATACTACTGATACTGCTATTGCTATCATTGTTATCATAATCACCATGACTATTCAATATTATATTAAAACAACCAAGGAAATGTATTCACCATTGTATCAAGACTTTCATTCAACGTTTGTTCGTGTTGTTTTAAAGTCGCATTCTCTTCGACCAGGGCATCGACACGACTCCGAAAATCGATCACTTCTTGTTTTAGCACACACACTTCGGTTGAGAGCATCTGAATAAGTCGACTCAACTTATTTTAGAAATAATAACTGAACAACTCATATCGATGCTTTCAATAACAGCAACTGAGCTCTATATTAAGACACACACGATTCTAGTTACTTTTATATTCACTGGAATCAATTCGTTGAAATTCAAACCTCTTTATCTGCTTTCAATTCTTCCATCTCTTCAGCGTGTCTTTCTTCTTCAGCCTTTTCGTTTGCTAGCATCTAAACAATTCAATACCAGTAATGTAATGTTACACTGGAAAAAAGTTTTAACAACAAACTAATAAAAAACAAACAACAGTTTTAGTATATAGGATCAAATAATGATCAAAACAAGGCATTGATTACTTCAGTTTTTTCTGCTTCCAAAGTAGCGATTCGTTCTGATTGCTCACGCGCAATTCGCTGAGCTGATTCTTTTGATTCACTGATTTCCTGAAAACAAACACTCCTTGATACACTTCAGACTCATCACACATTAAAAACTAAATATGTACTACAACCAGGCGATTGATTTCTAAAAACCGACTACCTCATAATGATCTAATTAAAACTTCTCAAATGAAATCACAACAATATAAATCATACTTTTTGCGCTGCCACAAGGTTTTCTCGGACATTATCGGAGTCTCGTAATTGTTTCTGCAAACACATCACAATGAGTTCTGTCCAAATTCAATCTCGTATCAGACAAATGGAAAATCTCGTTCAATTGATCAAAACATCAAAACACCACCAAGAAAACTCTGAACTGCTCGAAGATGCAA